GCCGTCCAAAGGGGTCTTCTTTAAGCAACCATTATTAGGCTGTATTCAGGTAAAGTGTGGATATTCGCAAGACAGAAACAATTACTACTCCGACTTCTAAACCCAAACTCTCCAAAGAATTGTTTGTGGAGCATCTCGTAGGGTTTGATGGGTCTGCAAGCAGGAGAATTACACAGGTCAACCGTAAGGACATTTGATTAGAAGCCAAATGAGTAACTTTCGTCCTGACATCGTCTTGAAGGTCTACTTGGATCATTCTCGAATGCCTCCGTCAGAAATATGCGTGTACTGTTTAAGTTTTGCTTGCTGTTAGTTCTGCTCTGACAGTTGTATTGCTTGACGTCCTGACAAATGCAATTGTGTTCTTTCAACCTCTCTAAAGTGCCAGCTGCATCTCACGGCGTTGCCACCACTGGAAGGTGGTTTATTGTCAGTATTTAGGCCCTTGAGATTCAAGGCATCTGCCGTGTAGTCGTGAGAGAGTAAGGAGCCAGTGAATCCATGTATATATGCAATGAGTTAAAAGGGAATTCATGTAATATCCATGTTTTGGAACCCTCAAAATGAACATTTGTAATTTGATTGCAATTATCACACCTTCTCTTCGTTCGGTGTTGTCTGTAACAGAAACCGAGATGACTGATTTGAGATGCAGTATTTTCTGTCACCTTTTGCAGACTACGTTCATCGCATCGGACGTACAGGACGTGCAGGCAAATCGGGCATAGCTGTCACCTTTCTCACGAAAGATGACACAGCGGTTTACTACGACCTCAAACAACTGCTACTCACCTCACCGGTGTCCACTTGTCCACCGGAATTGGCCAACCATCCCGACGCACAAACAAAACCAGGCACCTTTGCAGCAAAGAAGCGGAGGAACGATGAAACCGTCTACATTGCTTGAATGGATTGATAATGTGTACATAGACGATTGGGTGCTCGCGCACTCCAGCCAATTTATGCATCTTGTTTTTACTGTAAAATGGTGTTTTGATTTCTTTTTTTTTGAGACCAGACACCTGGCTTGTCAGAACGGCTGGAGGAAGTTGATGGAGGGATCGGCAGATTGTTTAGGATGCGTCCTGAATGAGTGAGCCTCGTCGGTTGCGATGCCTC